AAGTGAAGCAGCTACAATGGCTGATGACTATTCACTCACACATGATTTAATTTCTACTAAAAGTAGCCAAAGGCTAGACAAATCTCCCCATGCCGCTACCTCTCATTATACCCCAAATAAAGTAATACAGAGTAGATCACCCTTTAACCCTCAAACTTATGATAAGCTCAAGTCAAATAGTGATAGCACTGTTAGGCCTAAGCCAGAAGCATATAAAGGGGTGGATCATCATAAAATACCCGTATGTTCTTATTGTCATAAAAAAGGGCATATTATTTCAGAGTGCTGGATTCTTCAAAGAAAATAAAATAAAAATACTAGTTTAAAATCCAGTGCTTGTGTTTCATTAAAAAGCCCTGAAGCGCCAATTAAATTAAACTTCCCTGAAAAGATTGTTGATAATGCTGCGTCTGAATTTATTATTGAGGAGTTTAAGCCTTTTGTGTCTGAAGGATTAGTGTCACTTGTAGGTGACGATGCCAATTTAAAAACCCTTAGGATATTACGTGATACAGGAGCTTCACAAAGTTTGATGTTAGAAAAAGTTTTACCCTTTTCATCAAAGTCTTCTGTAGATGCTAATGTTCTTATTCAGGGTGTTGATTTAGGCTTTGTTAGTGTACCTCTTCATGATATTAACTTAAAGTCAGATTTAGTTTCTGGGCGTGTTACTGTGGGTATTAGACCTACTCTTCCTGTAGAAGGTATAGATTTATTACTAGGGAATGACTTAGCGGGTGATAAAGTTATTGTTAACCCGATTCTATCAAATAATCCTTCTTTTGAAAAGCCTGTTCACGATAATCAGGATTCTGATTTATTTACTTACCCGGCTTGTGCAGTTACTAGGGCTATGAGTAAGATGTCTGAAAAGAAATCTCTTAATGAGGATATGTCTATTAATGAAGATTCTTATGTGTTAGAGGACACTTTTATGGCGAATATTCCTGATATTCAGTTTGATGCTTCATTTGATAAGGACCAAGTTCCTATTTTACACGACAGTACCTCTTTTCACCCTAATAATCTTGAAGGTTTAGGTCCAGACCCTTTAAGTCGTTCTAAATTAATTATTGAACAAGGAAATGACCCTGATCTTGTCAATTGTTATGGTCAGTGTTTATCTTTAGACGAGGTGGAGAATGTCCCTATTTGTTTTTATAAAAATGATAATGTTTTGATGAGGAAATGGAGACCGCCAGATGCGAATGTTAGTGATGAGTGGAAGGTTGTTCATCAGATTGTTGTGCCAAAATTATATCGTCAAGAGGTTATAAGTTTAGCCCATGATTTGCCCATGGCTGGTCATTTGGGAGTTAACAAGACCTACCAAAGGATCTTAAACCATTTTTATTGGCCGAATCTGAAAAAGGATGTTGTTGAATTTTGCAAGTCATGTCACAACTGTCAGGTTGTTGGAAAGCCTAATCAGAAAATTCCTATTGCGCCTCTGTATCCTATCCCAGCATTTGAAGAACCTTTTAGTAGAGTACTTATCGATTTTGTGGGACCACTTCCTAAAACAAAAACAGGCAATGAAAACCTTTTAACAATTATGTGTGCCTCCACTCGTTTTCCAGAGGCGATTCCTCTTAGAAATATTAAAACGCCAAATATAGTGAAAGCTTTAATTAAATTTTTCACATTAGTTGGTTTACCTAAATCTATACAGTCAGATCAAGGATGTAATTTTATGTCTAATTTGTTTCAGCAAGTCATGCATCAGTTAGATATTAATCAATTTAAATCTAGTGCATATCACCCTCAATCGCAGGGGGCGCTTGAACGTTTCCACCAAACTTTAAAAAATATGATTCGGTCATATTGTTTAGAGCACAAAAGAGATTGGGACGAAGGCGTCCATCTTCTTTTATTTGCCGCTCGAGAAGCCGTTCAGGAGTCCCTTGGATTCAGCCCATTCGAATTAGTATTTGGCCACTCAGTGCGGGGACCGCTTACATTTCTTAAAGAGAAATGGTTAGGTGATGATACTAATATCAATATGTTAGATTATGTTGTTAGTTTTAAAGAAAGACTTAAAGAGAAATGGTTAGGTGATGATACTAATATCAATATGTTAGATTATGTTGTTAGTTTTAAAGAAAGACTTAAAGCAGCATGTGAAATTGCCAAAGAAAATCTTAAAAATAGCCAGGTCAAAATGAAATACTGGTATGACAAGAAAGCCAAGAATCGTACTTTTAAATCTGGTGACAAGGTGCTTGCCTTTTTACCTATTCCTGGTAGTCCGCTACAGGCCCGATATCACGGTCCTTATGAAGTTGAATCTAAAGTTAGTGACTTAGATTATGTTATTAAAACGCCTGGTCGTCGAAAACAAAACCAGTTATGTCATATTAACATGTTAAAGCCATATATTGAGAGAGAAACTTCAAACATTAGTAGACCTGTTGCTAATTTATCTGCTGTTCAGTCGAATGATGAACAAGAAGTTATAGAACCTATACAATGTGATATTAAATTAAAGAATTCTGTTATACTTTCAAATTTTGATACTAAACTTAATCATTTAAGTGATGTTAAAAAAGATGAGTTAAAATCTTTAATACATAAATACATACATTTATTTCCTGATGTTCCAAGTAAAACGGAGGCTATATATCATGATGTTGACGTGGATGGGGCTGTACCTGTTAAACAACACCCATACCGTTTAAATCCTCTTAAATTGGAACATTTGAGAAATGAAGTTAAGTATATGTTGGAAAATGACATTATTGAACCCAGTTACAGTGACTGGAGTTCACCATGCATATTAGTTCCAAAGCCTGATAAGTCATATCGTTTTTGTACAGACTTTAGAAAAGTTAATTCTGTTTCAATAACTGATTCATTTCCTATCCCTAGAATAGATGATTGTATTGATAAAATTGGTGATGCACAATTTGTTAGTAAATTCGATCTTTTAAAGGGATATTGGCAGGTTCCATTAACGGAAAGGGCTAAAAGGGTATCAGCTTTTGTAACACCAGATGGTCTTTTTCAGTATAAAGTAATGCCGTTTTGTATGAAAAACGCACCAGCTACCTTTCAAAGATTAGTTAACGGAATTATTGCCGATTTACAAAATTGTGAGGGGTATATTGACGACATTATTACTTATAGTGATACATGGGAACAGCACAAGAATCAGTTAGATGCTTTATTTAAGAAATTATCTGATGCTTAATTAACTGTAAATCTCATGAAAAGTGAATTTTGTCATGCTACTGTAGAATATTTAGGCCATATTGTAGGTCAAGGACAAGTAAAACCTATTAAAGCAAAAGTTGAAGCTATTGTAAATTTTACTCAGCCGAATAATAAGAAAGAAATGATGAGATTTTTAGGTATGGCTGGTTATTATCGGAAGTTTTGTCCAAATTTTTCAGTTATTGCTAATCCCATGACAGATTTATTAAAAAAGGATGCTAAATTTATTTGGTCTGATCAATGTGCGAAAGCGTTTGATAAACTTAAAGCCATACTAATTACCTCTCCAATTCTTATCACACCAGATTTTACTAAACAGTTTAAACTTTCGGTAGATGCAAGTGATATAGGTGCAGGTTCAGTTTTGTCTCAGAATGATGTAAATGACATTGAACATCCTATATGTTATTTTTCAAAGAAATTTAATAGATATCAAAAGAATTACTCTACCATTGAAAAAGAATGCTTGGCATTAATACTGTCTCTGCAACACTTTGATTTCTATTTGGGAACAACTTTATATCCTGTAATTGTATGTACATATCACAACCCACTTACTTTTATTCATAAAATGAAAAATAAGAACCAGAGGTTGCTCAGATGGAGTTTAATGTTACAAGAATACGACATTGTTATTAAACATATAAAAGGTAGAGATAATGTTATACCTGATACCTTATCTAGAGTAAATTAAGTGTTACATTTAAAGTTTACATTACATTTAAACTTTTTTAAAGGGGGGAGGTGTCATGTATTACATGATATTGTTATGTGTGTATAATTGTCTCTATGATTATAATGAATAATCAGTTCATTGTTGTTACTAAAGTTGTGGTGTGATTCGTCTGCTAGCATTGTTGCAGAATTTAGAGACTTTTTAATCAAGACGAGCGCGTGCTGGTGACCACGTGATGCTGGGGTTGCGGCAGAGGCATGGCAACCAGCGGCATGGTGGAGTTTTGTTGTGAAGTTTCGTGTGTAAATTCTTTCATTGCATAGTTAGATATAAGTTATTGCATTATTTTTTACCGTGTGAATGTTCGGTAATATGTCTAAATCGTCGTTGATAACTCGTATCAAGTTCGTTTCATGATTATAGTAAGTAATTCGCGATAGAGTAGAAGATTCCAGCATCAACGCAGATTCCAGAATAGTTCGACCCACGTGACATCGGAATGTGTGTTGACGAAACATGTGTGTTATGAACTGATTCTTTAATATATAATTAATAATACTGTCTAATATTTAATGTCCATTACAAGTCCGTTACGTATGTTTTTGTATGATTCTCTCGTATTACCATGTTTGTGATTGTTGTTTACCGTTCACTGTAATAAATCATGTTATTAATTGTACATTGACGTTTTCTATAATTTCTGCTGACGGGGCGTATTTCATGAATAGGTTATTTCTGGCCTTGTTTTAAGTGACGTAACAATACACAGACACTCATAAACATTGAAACAAGTAAGAAATTATGAGTACTGGTATATGAACTTTTGATGTAATTTTGTTCCAGAATTTCACGTCTCTGAATTATCCGAATAGTATTCGGATCACAAATCTCGATCCGATTTTCAACACTAATAAAAACCAAACAAATTCTAATCATTTTCTGATAATTACTTCATGAGTTGTTACTCTTAAGCAGATTTTAGTGGATTATAAATGTTTCATTTCCGAAAAAAGTAAAAATATGCGACAACACTTGTTAACTGCCCGGAAAATTTAGCTGCTGTGGGCGTATGTTTCATTGCCTGGCAACCTATCTTTTTCTCTCTCTGTAGTGAAAAGCGTTCAGCCCAACGAAAATTTGGGGAAAAGTGGAGCCGGGCAAAGAGACCAGAATTAACAGTGGTCTGCATCCGTAGGACTTTTCATTAAAAAAGACTGATCTCCCTTGCATGAACTGAAAGCAGGAAGAAATCGCCATTAAGAGAGGGGAAGACATCAAGAGACAACTAAAAGATTGTTCAAGTAAATAGGTGAGTTGTTATAGTAAAAGTTTGTAGAAACGTCAAACAGAATATATAGGTATATCGATATACTGCGGTATGTTTACCACATGCTCTAGAACTTGATTAGTCAAATCATAATGATATATTGTTGTAAATGAGGAGTTTTATAAAGGTCACGTGAATGAATAGTGTGACGTACAGCTACCAAACTATCAACACGTCGCTACTACAGCTCGTCTTGAGTGTTTGGTGGTTCAACATAGTAAGTCACAAAATATAATATACGCGTCGCCGTGAATTCATTCGTCTACGACTACGATTGAATATTGGTTTATCGACTGAAGAAAGTGCCGATTCAGCAATTTCAAGTAGGTCGAGTCAATCAGCCGAGATCAAGGCTGTCCTACAATAGCTACCATACAGTACGCTTCAGGCGGAAGTATGAAAATAGTCCTTGTGGGCGTTTTTTCCGCTCAAAAATCGCGGTGTTTTACCCATATACACTCCGCGGAATTAGAGACGTTCTGGGCGGAAAAAAGTCAGCGAAAATATAAAATTCGCGGTGGATTATCGCCCGCGAAAATATTAAATTCGCGGCGGATTATAGTCGGTGGAAATATCAAATTCGCGGCGGATTATAGTCCATAGTGATTTGAAATAGTCAGAGTAATTTAGTCCATATTGCCACAACGTTATTAGAAAGAAACAAATATTTAATGGAACGATATCACGAGTATATTAGTCGTTTTAGTTCACCGGTAATTCATATATTCATAATACTCTTTTCAAATTCCGTTTTGATTATTAACTAAAGTGTACCAATGTATTATTGTATTCATATCCTAAAATGTCCGTTATGTTCTATTCATTTATAATGTACATCTACATCGGTATTTAATTCGTGAATCACACCATAAAGCACAGACACATAGCAATTTTCTATGTCATTAGTTGATCCGACAAGCAGACAATGAAACCATGTTTCGTGAATTCTGATAACAATGTCTGAAAATGGACGACAATAAACATATATAGAAGGCAGCGATTTGCACGTGGGTGTTTTAAAATATGCTGTTTTTTTATAGACTGATTTATTATCCGTTTTAATTATGAACAACAATTTAATGATATTCGTAGAAATAAACGAATTAGCATAAATTGCTAGGAAGGAATATTTTCTCCTTTAACGGTAATTCAATTAAAATGACGATTCGGCTCCCAACATTCAATATATACATACGTACTTTATGTCCCCAAAATTAAAAGTCATATTGGATAGAAGCTGGAAGATAGTTTACTTATTTCAGTTTCGTATTTGACTTTACAGATTCCCCATTCCCCACATTGGAAAACAGATCAACACGTCAAATCGTTTCAGTTACAGGTATAAGGCTTAAAAATATCATGTCTTAAATAGCCCCTTCAAATATTTCTTTTTATACTTTAACTTATAAGTGCAACACACAAACTGCTTACCGTATTTATACAGTTGACGATAAATATCCTAAATAATAATCCGGTTCGGTTTCTTTCCAATAATTATCAATGAACATATCGAAGAACCTTTAATAAAACACCTAACAACCAGATCTTATGAATGGAATCTTGTCCGGACAGAACTTAGATTAATAGTAACTGATCAAAGAGTGAACATCATAAGGGATGATTTGTGTGCCAAATTAAAAATATTATCACCGATAGGGGTTCACTAGTCCGCCGCTATAAGAAATACTATAATGTGGGTATCAATAAACCTAACCCTAACTCAACCCTAATGATAGATATCGGTGGACTAATGAACCCTAACCCTAAATAAAGATATCGAAACCCTAACCCTAACCTAACCCTAATTCATCGTAGCCTGTTAGTAATTTAGCCGTGACAACCGCACCTATTTAGTGTGAAAATCCAGTTTGTTCGCGTCCCAATTGTAATTATTCTTTATTAATGAAGTCAACTATTTTGGGTAATGATTACTTACTGACAATTCAGAATGAAAGTATTGTCTACAAGACTACGACATGGTAACAATTTGTTGTTAAAGGGGCTTCTATTATAGTCAATTATCAATTCCCTTTGATGACACGTGCGAATTCAAATAATTTGGAAACTTGATTGACAGTATGCATTGACTCAGACTCTTTGGTGCCGAAATGAATAGGTCGTCATGGTATTATGTACATGTTTGCGTCAAGGTTGACGTTGACTTCTGGCGAGGTGTGCATTTAATTCATTTGTGATTTAAATCCGAAGATATAATACTTCAGGTGTGATTTACCGATTTACAATGCATTGTGAAACTTATTTGTCAGAATGGGAATGGATATTTTAATGGACAAAACCTTTCACCCACGGTAAGACCAACATCTATGTGTATAAATTTTGAAATTTTCGTAATTTGAACGAGTTTGAATGTCTTAAAAATGTCGAACATATTGATGAAGTAATGAATCGTACAGCCATAACTCTGTTTATTATATTATATAAAAGCCTGCCAATTTTTGATATTTGTTATATTTTCAATGTAAGACAGCAAAATCTGCGTGTCTAACCGTGTTAAATTAACAATCTTTTTTTTGCATGCCGTATTAGCTGATATTCGACTACGATATGATGACTGCGGTGCAATTGCACTATAAATAAACCTAGCTATTTTAAAACATTTACATGTACGGATGTGCTGACTGTACATGCATGGAAAGTCCGACTTAAAGGGGCACGGTGTGATATAAGGGATGGTTTTTGTGCCAAATTAAAAAAAATATCACCACCGGTTCAACGAATGATTTTAACAGAATATGTCACCTGCGAATATGATGATTAAGTATTCTTTTCACACGGCGCATACGCTAACCTTTAAGTCTGTACCGATTCAAAAATTGAATTATCTTTTATATCCACATTTTTAAATCCCGAGTTTTATCGTAAATAAAATTAATAGAAAGTATTGTTTACAAGAATACGACATGGTAACAATTTGTTGTTAAAGGGGCTTCTATTTTAGTCAATTATCAATTCCTTTTGATGACACGTGTGAATTCACGTAATTAATTAGGAATCTTGACTGACAGTATGCATTGACCCAGACTCTTTGGTGCCGACTGATACATGTGTTCAGCAAGGTTGACGGTGACTTCTGGCTATGTGTGCTTGAAAACAGGAGATGAAGGCATATATTACTTGTTCGGGTGTGATTTATAAATTTAAAATGCATTGTGTGACATATTTGTCCGAATGGAAATGGCTATTTCGATGGACAAAACTTTCGCTAACGGTAAGACCAGCATCTATGTGTGTAAATTTTGAAATTTTCGTAATTTGAATGAGTTTGAAATAGAAGAAAATGTCGAACATATTGATGAAGTAATGTACGGTACAGCCATAATTCTGTTAATTTTATTATTTAAAAGCCTGTTTGATTTTTGTTATTTTTCAATATAAGCCAGTTAAATCTGCGTGTCTAACCGTGTTAAATTAACAATCTTTCTTTTGGCATGCGGATATTCGACTACGATATCACTGCCGTGGAATCGCACGATAAATAAACCCATTTCAAACCAGCTATGGATGTGCCGACTGTACATGCGTGGAAAGTCTGACTTTTTAAAATTTCGCGGTGGGCGGCGGATTAAAATAATCGCGGAGGTCGGCGGTTTATTTAAATTCGCGGAGGAATTTTAGAGCGGAATTTTGAGCGTGGCCAGAGCGGATTGATTAACTGACGTCCGCGATTTTTCATTTCCGCCCAGGTCGGACCTCGGGGAAATTTAGTACTTCCGCTTGAAGTGTACCGTACAATAAGACCACTCACCAGACAAAAAGGGACAATCAAGTGAGCATACAATAATAAGGAATTCGCTGGATGACCATGACTTCAGTGAAATCACATGCTCCGTATGGGCTAACTAACCCGAGCCCTTGATAAATAAAATAAATTGAAACTAGTCTATTTTTAGTAACTAGGTTATTGTTTGATGGTGACAAATTTTTTGCTCAATATAAAAAGGGTTTTATCTCTTCAAAAGTGTGTTATTATGAATGTGCCAGAAAATAACAAGTATATTCAAAGAGCCATTAAAACTTACTTTCCGGTGATGTATGACACAATAACTGGAATTTCGTATTAAGACCCTTATTTTGACATTAAACACTCGCCCCACCCCACCACTCGAATTCAGTTAGTGCAGGCTAACTAACTTTGATCAATTTTTAAAAAAAATGTACCTGCATTGTGCCTAAAAATAAAGGTATAAACTAAAGAAAGGATTGACTTCAATCTTCAGTATAGATATAATTATTTTGGATTAAGTCCCGCATTCTTACTTCAACTTTAATCTTTTTTCAAGGTATGTATATATAAGTGTGTCCGAAAATTATTTACATATACTCAGCCAAATTAAAAACTTGACACTCAGGATTTTTGGGACTAGATTTTTAATATTTGGTTTAAGGCAACTATTTGAGGCTTATGTTGTGCAACGAAGACGACCTTGACATCAACAGAAAGCAAGAATACGTCTCGCCGAAAGTCCTTGTCATTGATAACATTCGTGATGTCACAGTACCCCCCAAAATGAAATTCACAGACTTGGAGAACAATCGGAATAAAGTGTTTAGTAACGGTTGTGACCTCCTCTAGCGTCTCGTACTGCCAATCAACGTCTTCTCATGGATCTCAGAACATTAGTAAACACTACCCGAGGAAGACGTCGCCACTGCTCAGCAAGAGCATGTTGAAGGTCCTGCAACGTCAGTGGTGGATTCACTTGCTGACGAACACATCGACCCAGTTCGTCCCAGATGTGTTCAATAGGATTAAGGTCGGGGCTAAGCGACGGCCAATCCAGGACTTGGACACCGGCATTTCTTAAAAAATTCTGGGTAGCAATTGTTGTATGGGGTCGAGCATTGTCTTGTTGAAACGTTACTCCAGGCCCATGTCTCTGCATAAACAGAAGAACAGGTTGCAAAATCTGATCCCTGTACTGGACAGCATTTAAGTTCCCTTGGACAACAACAAGAGGAGA